TTGACCTTGTGTTCACCTGCACATGACAAATAAACAACGTAACAAATTATCAATGACTCAAAATCCATTAACTATATCAAGGGATACCACTGTTTACACATCGTAACCTCACAAGACAAACAAGTTTGTCATTTGTGGTATTAATACACTTTATCGCTCACAATTTTTAAAGTAATTTACATTTTTGACTCAAGAATGGAACTTAGCGTGCCCAAAACGTTATATTTTCCTGCACAAAATGGGAAATTTGGATGACTTTGATCTCAATTCAGGTCAAAACTAAAAAAAAAAAAAAAAAAAGACTTCCAAAGGTGGAAGTCTTAAATAAAAATGGTGGCTATTGTTCTTCCATGCGGACACAGTGTTTTTTGGAAAACTTAGGTCCAGAAGATTACTTGTATCACATTCCATGCTTTAACCACAAAGTGAAAGATGAATTCACTAATCAGGAGCACAAACTGGTCAGATTTTATTAAAACTGTTGGAAAGTAATCATTGGAAAGACATCACTTTAATCATTTATGGAATCTGATGTCTAAAGAGATATTTGTTTCAAAAATTGGCACTACCTTGTACCCTATTTATATCTAAAAAAAATTAAAAAAAAGTTAAATCTGGTCCTCTGGACATTCAAAAAAAATTAATTGTAGAACAAAAGAAGTAGTCTTATAAATAGCACCCTCTTATAAGACTGAGCTGAATCCAGCACCTCAGACTGAGGAAGTCTTTCGGATGAAAGACGAAACGTTTCTACAATTTTTTTTTTTTTTAGTTAGTTTATTTATTTATTTTTTAATGTCCAGAGGACCAGATTGAACTTTTTTAGATTTTTCTACCTGGATTTTTGAGCATGCATCAGGATACCCTATTTACATGTTCGCAAAACAACATTTCAACAGGACATTTGGTTTCAACAGGACATTTGGTTTCAACAGGACATTTCCAACACTTTTAATACAACTTTGAGAAAGTGATCACTGGATGGACATCTTTAAATTATTAAGGTTTAGAGTCACTTTGATAGATGGCTGCCAGAGCTAATCAACCTTTGTAGGAAAAAAAAGGCGACAACTCAGTAAAATGTACAGATATTGATCTAAAGTTTAATGTGATAGAGTCATTACTAAAATATACTTTGAGCAGAAAATAATAGCACTAGATCTTAAAATACTGCATTTTGTTGTTTTCAAAATTGAACCAAAACAGTTATGAAGCTGGTATTTAGGTGGTGGCAGAAAATATGCATTTATTTAGGAAATGCTTGGCCTTTAAATTACACATGTATCTATAACATCAAGTATAGAAAATATTTAAAAGTCATGTCTGTCAATACAGTTCAGTTTATTCATATATCACCAAGTCACAACAGAAGTCGTCTCTGGGCACTGAAGAAAAACATTCACTTACATGTAAAAGCCATTTAGTAAAAGTTCTCTATCTAAGGAAGCCATCAGATTGTGTTGAATCTTCACTTCATCTCAGTCTCCCTTCCTGAGCAAGCACAAAGGCGACAGTGGGAAGGAAAAACTCCCTTTTAACAGGAAGAAACCTCAAGTAAAATCAGGCTCAGGACAAGCGGACATCTGCTTCGACCGGCTGGTTTGAGAGGACAGGAAGGAGAGACAGATGAACACAGAATGGTAGGTCCAGGTGAACTTTCTATAAGAGACAACACACAAAAGCACAAGGGTAAAAGTAATTACAAATACAAACAGGGAGGGAAGAGCAAGCAAAGACAGCAGCAGAGCGAGGAAATTAGGTCAATTTGTCCTCCAGCAGTCTACGCCTATAGCAGCATAATTAAAGGATAGATCAGAAAACCCAAGCAGACCCTAACTATGGGATTTATTAAGAAGGAAAGACTTAAGCTTTATCTTAAACGTAGACAATGTGTCAGATTCCCCGACAGAAACTGGAAGTTGGTTCAACAAGAGAGGAGCCTGATAAATGGAAGATCTTCCTCCCATTCTGCTTTTGGAAACTCTAGGAACCACAAGTAAACCTGCAGTCTGAGTGTGAAGTGCTCTGTTAAGAAAGTATAGAACAATAAGATCTGTAATATAAGATGGAGCTAGGTTGTTGAGAGCTTTGTAGGTTAGAAGGAAGATTTTGAATTTTATTGTGAATTTGACAGGGAGCCAGTGGAGAGGAGCTAAAACTGAAGAGATGTGATCTTTCCTACTCTCATTAAAACTCTGGCAGCAGCGTTTTGGATCAACTGAAGACTTTTTAAAGACGTTTTTGGACACCCAGATAATAAACAATTGCAATGGGCCAGTTTTTCTGCATCATTTTTGAACAAGATGTTTATATTTTTTGCAATATTGCGCAGGTGAAGGGAAACTGTTCTAGTAACTTCTTTAATGTGGGCATTAAAATACGTATCCTGATCAAAAAAACAACACCAACATGTTTTACATCAGAACTGGAGGCCAGTTCATCCAAAGGAAGTGAAAGGCTGCAAAATGTATTACTAAAATGATCAGGTCCAAAAACTACAACTTCTTGTCTGAGTTTAAAAGCAGAAAATGAAGAGCCATCCAGGATGTTGTCTTTAAGACATGACTGTAGTCTAAGTAACTGACTGGATTCATCGGGTTTCATGGACAAATATAACTGAGTATCATCAGCATAACAATGAAAAGTTGCCCCATGCTGTTTAATAACTTTACCTAATAGAAGCATCTATAAAGTAAAGAGTAGTTGTCCAAGCATAGATGCCTGAGGAACTCCATGACTAACTTTGGTGTATGAAACAGAGTCATTGTTTACATTTACAAATTGGAATCTATCAAATAAATATGATTTAAACCATTTTAGAGCCATTCCTGCAATCCCAAAGAGCCATTCCTGTAATCCCAAAGAGCCATTCCTGTAATCCCAATCTTCAATGTGTTTGGTTTGTTTCTGTTACTGTGAAAGCCGGAGATGAGGAGGAAGTGAGTGAGTAAAAACGTGTCTCGATCCCACACATGTTAACGCTCTATCAAACATCTGTCACAGCACAAAGTGTGTATTAATACATACATTTACATTTTTGACAGATTTTTAAGTACACAAGTACAAAGTTACATGAAATGAAAAAGAGGAGACAGTGAAGTTCATTCAAGGCCACACTGAGATGAGGGAAAACATGGCAGCTGTCCAAAACACATGAAGCGCATGATGAGCTCCTGCATTTTCCAGATTCCTGGTGTTGCTTTGTCTCATGCTGTTTCATTTCTCTACACTTCCTGTCATATCTTTTGGAAAATTTGGACAGCTAAAAATCTCACTGTTTCTTCTACATGAAATCAAAACTCTGTTACTTTAAATGCAGAAACATTTGTTGTAAACATTCATAGATTTTCAAATGGTCAATTTTAAAAAAAAGTTTTTTTTCTCTTGCTATGAGACAGACGTTGCCACAACACACCGAGACAAACTGAGAGTGGTGACACTGTCATGTGGTCTGACTCATGCTGCTTTCATTCATGCTTCCTGCTTGGAGCTTTTTTTTTTTACTTTTCTCTATAATTTGAGATGGTTTTGTTTTTCTTGGGTTTATGTTTTCAAGAAAAACTCTTTTGGGGAGAAATAAACAATGAAAACGGATCAGTCATGAGGGGAAGTAAAAAATTAAAAAAAAGCTTAGCAAGGCATTTGGAGTTTCCCTCTGTGGGAGGATCATTTTATTTTACGCTCTGAGGAGCAGTGTAAAAAAAAAAATAAAAAAAAAAGACCCTTGGCCACAACTCACTAAAACTTTCCCAGTTAGATACTGATGAAGGAAATTATAATTTCTTCTAAACTGGTTTTGGTCCTATAACATGTTGAAGTTAAAGGTCCAGCATCACAGTCACATCACAAGTGTTGAAGTGAAAGGAGGTGGAGATATGGCCAAACCTGGTAAAGAACATGTTGCACAGACTCATGCAAGATCTTACGGGACCTTTTGAACGGCAGCCATTTTTCTGCTGACAACAGTCTCTGTAGCTGCGATGACCATCTTAACTGTGGTTGACCCCTTAAAAGGTAATCAAACGTAAAGGTATGTTCATTGATTTTTTTTATTGAAGGTTTCTTTAAAATCTGTCCAGTGGTTCATGAGATTTTTTTACACACAAACACACAGGCACAGGCAAAACCCTGACTGGCTTTGGTGGCAGACTATATTTCTGTTTTATGGGTCAAAAATAAAAAGGAGTTCACGTTGTCCTGCGGTTCCCAAGATTTCAGTATTAGATTATCACTTTTCCACTAAGAACATCAGAAGTGGCTCTCATGGGAGGTCCCATTGAAGTGCCTTAGCAGATAATTGTTTATCTGCAGCCTGCTGAATGAGGACATCCTTTGTTTCCCTGTAGTCTGAGCAAAGTATCAGCTAACCTTTGTTTTTTATGCTTCTCCAGCAGATCAATATGGCTTGGGTAATAAATGATTTGCCTTTAAACGTATCAAGTTTCACTGTTTTGTTGCAAAGAGGGTTAAAATCCAATGTGACTATGAGCCTGATTTAATTTCTGCTATCTGCTGCTCTTATCTCACATGGCTGTAGATAGGCAGGATGGTGAAGGCGTGTATTTTGGGAACCCGCAGACCACAAACACAGAAACTATGCAGCATCTGGTACGTGATGCCCTTTTATGGACTAACCACAAGATGTCCTTTTTTCTTTGCACACATACAAAGTAGAACCTATTCTTCCCCAAATCTTCTAACTTTTAACTTCCAGCTTTAATATATTCGACTTGGCTTGAGGTTTTATTTTTGCTGAACATCAAATAGTTTTCTTGTACTTTGAGCCACTGCTGGTGTCTGTGGTTTGTTGTTTTGGATGTTTACATGCTTCATGCATCTCCTTGGTGACAGAAAACACAATGTATGTTTAAAAAGGGGGAACATGAGAGTGACTGGGGGAATCAGAGAGCAGTGAGAATAATCAGGAAACAAAGAGTGGACGGTGCAGCAGTGGGCAGGATTTGGGAGACCAGCTGTTACTGGAGAGAGGCGGCGCTATAAAAAGTTCCCCACTTCCCCCTCCTGGCCTCACTTTTCAAGTCAGCCAGCTCTGAATCTCCACCTCGCTCTCATTTTTTAATCTCATTAGAAGCGACATAGATTCCTCCAGCATGAACTTCAGAGCCTCCACCCTGCAGACACCTTCTGCTCGGATCTCCATGACCCGCTCTGCTCCTCAGTACCGAGCTGCCAGTATTTATGGTGGTGCTGGGGGGCACGGCGCTCGCATCTCCTCTACCTCTGCATCTTCCCTGCGCTCAGGTGCTCCAGTCTCATCCTCCTCAGGTGGCTTCAAGCTGAGCAGTGCTCTGGGGGGTGGTATGGGTGGGGGCTTTGGAGCTGCGTCTGCTTCAACCGGTACAGGCGGTGGCATCCTGGGCAATGAGAAGGGGGCAATGCAGAACCTGAACGACCGCCTGGCCAACTACCTGGACACGGTGAGGAACCTGGAACAGGCCAACAGGAAGCTGGAGTTGAACATCAGGGAGGCCCTGGAGAAAGGAGGTCCTGACATCAGAGATTACAGCAAATACGATGCCATCATAGAGGATTTACGCAAAGAGGTAAGAAGGAGAATTACTAAAATGTGGACGCTTGTGTAAAACATACTTGAAACTGTGAAGTTTCTGGCTGTTGGATGATACAAAGTCATGACACAAATAATGAAGGAGTTCTGTGTGCTGGAAAAAATGTGTTGGACCTCTCATATGTGCCGACAGTCGTCACTGCATGTAAATACAGACCTGCCAGTGTATTTGTAACCTACACAAGGCCTAACAACAAAAATGCTTGACTTCCTTTCAAGGTTATCAAATTTCAAGCCAGAGAGTTAAGGGTGTGGTTGCTAAGCTCCAGCCCTACTTTTATAAAACTGCTCAGGGCCTCAAACGGGCCTCGAACTTCCTCCTGATGAATCACAAACACGAGGGGTTTTTTCACAAGAGGCTGAATGAAAATCTCTCAGGCAACCAGCACACGTGGAACAAGAATTTCTAAGCGCTGGCTGGACGGTGATTCTGGTGTAGGAGGGCCAAGATGGGAAACAGATGTGTGGTAAAATGACTCAAAAAAAAAAACGATCCCACACTGCCGGGAGCGGGTGTCCAGATGTGAGCAGCGGTTGTACAACAATCCGCTTCAGTCCAGAGCGTCAAATGTCACATTCTTTCCTTTGAATCCAGAACTTCAGCGTGGCACAATGACACATTGATGGTGGCACTTCTTCACACACCAAGGGAGCAAATATGTACGCGTTTTTTAAAAATGTGCCATCACATAAACTCCCAATCGCTCATAAAGAATCAATTCATCTCTCAACCCATAAACTTATTAGGCGATAAAAAATGATTGACAGCGACAGACAGGAAGTACATTTCTACAGCAACGAGAAAACAAAGTTCTGTTTTGGCACAAGAACACCATATCTTCCTGTTCTTCATTTTGTTTCCTCTTTTATGAACAAATGTTGGCTTCCCTACTGTGCAAAAGAAAAAGTGGTTTGTTTTGTACATGCAAAACATAACGTAAGGCCAACAAAGTATACATTTATGGAGGATTCTTCTAACTAAATAACCGCTTTCGTCATATTTTGTTTTTTTTCCTCCTGTCCAGATCTTTGATAAGATAGTAGACAACGCTCGCTTTGTGCTCCAGATTGACAACGCCCGCCTTGCAGCTGACGACTTCAAAGTAAAGTACGTCTTTTTACTTTTATCTTCAAGTATTCCTGTCCAAGGTTGTTAAATTGAAGATACCGTATTTTTCGGATTATAAGGCGCACTTCAAATCCTTGAATTTTCTCAAAAATCGACAGTGAGCCTTATAATTCAGTGTGCCTTATGTATTAATTCTGATTGTGCTTACTGACCTCGGACCGATTTTATGTGGTTATTGTGAATAAGTTGAATAAAGTTTGACTTATGTGACTGTTTTGTTTCGCTTAATGCGTCTTATAGTCCGAAAAATACGGTACACGTTTGTCCTTCTCATCCCAGTGGATGTGAGCAGATGGTGTGTTACAGGTTGTGTTCCTTCACTCCCGCAGGTACGACAATGAGCTGGCGATCCGGCAGTCTGTGGAGGCCGACATCGCAGGGCTGAAGAAAGTCCTTGATGACACCAACATGAGCAGGATGCACATCGAGAGCGAGATGGAGGCTGTGAAGGAGGAGCTCAGCTACCTGAAGAGGAACCATGAGAATGTGAGTTCATTAATGTATCAAATTAACTTTTGCGGACATTATTTTTGTCTCTAATCCATGACATGAAACAACATGGTGGAGATGAGTTAGAAGCAAATGCTGTCTGTGCTGTGCAGCAATACCTGGAGCTTCACATTTCTAATAACCGTTACTCGGTTCTGTTTGAACTATGATTTTGTGAGTTTATTGATTTAGAACCATCTCCACTCCGAGATGTTGGAGGATTTTTTTCCACATAAGCTGCTCACCTTTAGTGCTTTTACATTAACATTTACTGCAGTTAATGACAGGATTTTAATGGAACAGCTGCAGGAAAAAGTTTCATTACTTTTGTTAACCACTCTTTGATTAAATATCGTTTGCATTCTTTTTCCGCATAAACCACTTTCAATCATTTGACAAACATTTTAATAGACTTTGGTAATCTTAATCAGAATTACTTATTTATAATGAGCTGTCCTGATCCAAATAGAGGAAAGCATATCCAAACCAAATGCTACCACCTCTGTGTTTGACTGATGGAGTGATACATTTGATAATAAAACACAGCCATGAATTAATATTTCTATAAAAACAAAATTGTCTAGTCACGCAAATTCTTCGATTCTCCAACAAAGATCTCCTGAAGCCTCTAACGTTTGTTCATTCTTCTCCAGATGCTGATGCTTCAGAACTTCTGACTTCCAAGTCTCGAATATCAATAGAAAAGAGTTGAAACGTTGACTTGGAATGTTTGAGGTTTTAACCAGCACTGACCTCAAAATCCAACATGGCTGCCGAACGCATAAAAAGTTACGATATCTGCAGTGGTAAAGCATTTATTAGCTCTTCAGTCTGACTGTGTCTTCTTAAATAAGTCCACATATGGTAAATCCTCTGCTGGTAAATGTATTGCTGTTGGAACAAAAACAGAAATGATAAAAAAAATACATTATTATTAGTTTGTTCTTAGGATTGGCGCTGAGTGAATGAATCCCACAGAATTACTTGTAAGTTAGGGGTGATGTTCCCAGATCCATCTTTTTTTGGCAAATGAACTGTGGCATGATTATACAAAGTATATAGTTTGAGAGAGGCCTTCAGGCACAGAGGTTACTTTGGATTTCTTTGTGGTCATGTGAAAATGGACTTATTAGAATTGTGGCCATTTGTGCACAGTCTCTCTGACTTAGGATCGGTGCAGTTCACACTCTTCAGAGGTAGCTCTGCAAAGTTTTTCAGTCTGATTTTATCTAATTCAAGCTTTGTTTGAGAAGGTTTTTCAGTTTTATCTCCCAGTAGAACCAAAAGTTGAAACTATGCACACACTGTATTGTCTCTGTTCTCACATGTGGAGTGAGATGATAAGAGTGTCTCAAGGACCAAATAATATTTTCCTTTAGTTGACTAAAGGTCAGAGAAACCTGTCACACTAAACTCTGGAACTATTGCAAATAAAACGCAAGGAATTAAATGAGAGTAAAACACAAAAAGTTTAATTACAACTCCCTCCGTTCTTCTCACAATGAAACAGGAAGTCATGGAGCTGAGGAACCAGATCTCCCAGTCAGGCGTCCAAGTGGACGTGGAGGCTCCTAAAGGCCAGGACCTGTCCCAGATCATGGAGGACATGAGGACAAACTACGAGAAGATCGCCGTGAAGAATGCAGAAGACCTCAAACGCTGGCATGAAAATCAAGTAAAGCAGAGCTGGAAGAATGTGAACTCATGGAGACATCGTCGTGTTTGCTCAACGTGCTTTTTCCTGTCAGATTTCAGAGGTGCAGGTCCAGGTAACACAGAACACCGAGGCTCTCCAGGGGGCTCAGGCGGAGAAGAGTGACTTAATCAGACAGATCCAGTCCCTGGAAATCGAACTTGCATCACAACAGAGCTTAGTAAGTGCTTAAAACCTGTTCAATACATTTTTATTTGTATCCACAAACATGTATCGCCCCATCGTTTCATAAAAGTTGTGCATTTAATGCAAATAATGCAATATTTATGTGTTTATAATATATTTATATTTGCATGTTCTTGTTTTGTTTGTTTGATTTGATTTACATGTGAACAAATGTTCACTCGTTTGTTGCATTGCGTTCACAGAAAGCCTCTTTAGAGGACACTCTGCTCGGCACAGAGCAACGCTACAACATGGAAATGGAGAAGTACAACTCCATCGTTCTGCGGCTGGAGGACGAACTTGGCAGCTTGCGTGCAAACATACAGCAACAGACGCAAGAGTACGAGGTGCTGCTCAACATGAAGATGAAACTAGAGGCTGAGATCAGCACTTACAAGAGCCTGCTGGATGGAGGAGACTTTAGGTAAGAACTACGAAAAAAGATTAAAAAAAAATTTGTGTTGATTTGAATAGTTAAGAATAGACAGACAGTACTTTAAGTTACAGTCATCACTACAACATTGTCGTTGTTTTTATATTTGATAAGCCAAAATGTTTGTATGTGTTTTAGGTTCCAGGATGCAGTGGATGAGCTGGAGGCCATAAGTTAATTTGGATTAAAAGAGTCCTCAAACACCTGTAACAATTAAAAATTTGCAGTAATGGAAAAAAAAAGGTTTGGCTTAAAATATGTTTTATACCAAAATCAGTTAAGAGGGTGAAAGAAATTCTTAATAAAGACACACAGAGTGAATAAAACCAGGAAGTTTTAGAAAAATTCAGTGTCTGACCTGACAGAAATAAATAAAATCAACTGTTAACAAGAGTTCTTGTTTGTCTTCTTTAATATAATTGTATTTTATTTGTATTTTTTTGCATGCTGAGTTATATTAAAAAAGAGCCAGTGCTACATGAATATAGCATTAACTAGCCTTTCTGGAAGGAATGCATGTCAGCCACTGCTTTGCATAACAAAGTTTTAAAGAAAAAATCAGTAGGATTTCTTGGCGTTCAAAGTATGTGATGGAAATTACTCTCAGCTACTACCACACCAGACCTCAGATCAATATCAGTCAAATGGAGTCCGCATTTTCGTACTATAAGGCGCAATGGATTATAAAGCGCATTACGCAAAACAAGACAGTCCAATAAGTCAAACTTTATTCAACTCATTCACAATAACTCTCAACATTGTTCAGCTAACCACATAAAATCGGTTTGAGGTCAGTAAGCACAACCAGAATTAATATGTAAGGAGCACCGGGTTATAAGACACACTTTTGAGAAAACTAAATGATTTTAAGTGCGCCTTATAGTCTGAAAAATACGGTAATAGCCATTTTTGTGTTTGCTAAGACTGATTAGCTGTGACGGACATCTTGAATCAGGATTACTCCAAATGTGAATCTGTTGTAGATGTTCATCCAGTGATTATACTTTGCATTTAAAGTGTTTCATTAAAAATCAATCCTGTGGTGAATGAGATATTTTGCTAACATAAAAAAGACAAAGAAAAAAACAGTATGTCACTCGTCACTGAGGGATTTGAATAGTGAATGTCTGTTTTTGAGAAGAAGCGCTGTTTTTGATGCAAGCTATTCAAGTAGGGAGGAGAAGAACAGAGGTGGGTATTCTTGTTTGTTTGTTTGTTTGTGTTTTTGGTTGTCCAAGGTGGCACAGAATGAGGAATCCTTGCGTTTGGAGGGAGCAGTTTTATCCACCAGCAGGCCTAATGACGGAGCCAGGGGGTGTCCCCACCCCAATGTGGTGGCCTGGGCCACGCTTCAGACCAGTCTGCTGTTCTTGTTTGTTCCAATGAGCTGAATTAACATCGACTCTTCATCTGATTCAGCTGCGCTCAACTTCAAAACAAGAATTATGAATTTAAGCAACATTTAATTGAAAACAGCCAGTGAGTACTGGGAGATTATTAACATTTTTAAAAACTTTTTAAATAAAGTAAAATGCCTCAAAGATTCTTAAAAATCTGCATTTTTTTAATCATTATTGTTTTGATCAAACTCTGGTTATGTATGTGACAAATGTGCAAGATCTGTCCCATTAAAAACAATTAAGTCTTTATTTGCACTTAACAGCTTGATTCAGTGATGTTTGACCAGTAGGAGGCAGAATATTTATTTAATAAGCCAAGAAACTCAGCTGACTCACAACTTTCTAATGGTCTGACTGCAGCTGCTTCTCTCAAAGGCCCTGAATTCTTATTTACAGACACTGTTAATTCACTTCTGACCCTTTAATCCTGCAAATCTAAACTGCTTTTATTATAACCCAAAACAAACATGCTCAAGAAGGAATGGGCCTTGTGAGGCGCAGGATCTGCTCTTCAGACTGCACAGAAACAGATGTGTCCAGTAACAACAGCATGTGGTGAGTTAAGAATGGGTCAACTTTTTGTTTCTGAAATACATAAAATTGCCCCTTAAAGGTGTTGATGGCCACATATGTTTCTGTAAAAGTATTGCTCTGCATTAATAAACAGTAACTGCTGTCAACACAACGCTCCTTCACATGGAGTCATCTGAGGTGGCTCGGGCATCTGATCGGGATGTCTCCTGGACCTCGCTTCATAGTCCAGGCACGTCCCACTGGGAAGACACCCTGGGGCCGACTCAGAACTCACTTCAGGAATGCCATCTGGCCTGGGAACACCTCGAGGTCCCTGTGGAGGAGCTGGAGAGTGTCACTGCAGAGTGGGATGTCTGGGTTTCTCTCCTGGACCTGTTTCCTCTGCAGCCTAAGATAAGCAGAAGATGGAGGGCTTCAGCACCAGCATGGAGTCTGACCTGCGCAGTGACATTACGTCCTCTTCTGTGCCCAAAAAATACTGCAGTCATTTATCTGTGTCATATGTATTTATTTTTTATGACAGATGTACAAGCATCTGTTCAGAGCTGTTTCTGAGCCCATACTTCAAATACAGAGTCGTAGACGCAGGCCTGCTTCTTATTTGGCCATCTTCTTTGTGTGTAGAGTTTATTGAATTCTAAGAATATTAAATTATATACCAGTAGCATGAATAATGTTGAAAATGTACCATTATACAAACACAGCCATGGCTCTTAAATTTATCAATTGCCCGCGCTGTGTGTAGCACACTATACTTTGAACTCTTTAATCAGTACTCACATCACATAACTTATTTTAATGCTTCTATTTGGTTTGCAAAAGTATTTAATTCTGCTCTGTGATAGACTGGAGACCTGTCCAGGTGTCCCCCACCGCTTGCACAGTGACTGCTGGATATGGGCACCAGTGACCCCCATGACCTGAAAAGGAATAAACTGGTAAAAGATAATGGATGGATGGATGAAGTATTAAATTATGTTTAATTTCCTATTTATTTTTTAGGTAAATGTGGTTGTATCCCACTTAAATATTTTCTAGACTTGTGCGAATGTCAGATAAACATAAAGGTCTTGCAGCAAAATTATACATAAAGCGTCTGAAAAGGGCAGAAATGTTAAGAACTACAGCTGTGATCTTCACTATTTTTTTAAAAAGAGCCATATTGACAGATCAAAGTCAAGGGGAGAGCCGCAATATCACCCCAAGTCACTCAAATAAAAGAATAAAATGAAACAACCCACCTATGAACAAAAAAGAAACACAGCCAGCACATTATCTGTTTAAACAAAATGTACCTTAGTACTGAGATGAGCAGAAGCTGTGGTGCATGCTGTGGTGCATGTCCTTGACTTTCTTCATGTTGTATTTGTAATTTGTTGTTGCAACCATAGTGAGGCATTCAAGATGGGCATGGGTCAGTGGGTTTCTCTGTTTTTGCTTGATAGTGTTCATGGTTGAAAACCTTGACAGTGTAAAAATTTCAGCTTTTAGCTGTTACCCCAATGCCATGAAAAAAACAAGTCAACAATAACAATGAATACCAAAGTCCATGTTCAACAATGAATATGCTGTAATATGTGTACGGATGAAGATGCCCCCTTCGCATTTCTGCCTGCCCCCTCATGTAACCATGTCTAGAACCGGCCCTGCTGAGATGCTTCTACTTCCTTCACCGCAAAGAGGCGTGCGGCCAGTGATGATCAGCTGATCCATCTGAGATTATCAGGACATTTCTTTTAACCTCTACCGGCCGGTCGGACCTGCCTCTTCCTCAACAAGTAGATTAACACAATATTATTCGTAAAACCGCATCAAAGAAGCCCGAGCCAACATGTGCAATTATTGCGCAATGCGCCAACATGATTTAAAAATGAGTTGACTGTGCTGGTGTATTGTTGTAACCTGTCACAAGAGCCACCAATAAAGCATGGCGAGCCGCATGTGGCTCGGGAGCCGCCCAATGAGTATCTCTGAACTACGTTTTAAAAATCTGTATAGGTTCATCCATCCAACCATTTTCTTCCGCTTATCCGGGGTCGGGTCGCGGGGGTAGCAGACTAAGTAGGGAGGCCCAGACTTCCCTCTCCCCAGCCACTCGGTCCAGCTCCTCCAGGGGAATCCCAAGGCATTCCCAGGCCAGCTGAGAAACATAGTCCCTCCAGCGTGTCCTGGGTCTTCCTCTGGGTCTCCTCCCGGTGGGACGTGTCCGGAACACCTCACCAGACAGGCGTCCAAGAGGCATCCTAAACAGATGCCCGAGCCAACTCAACTGGCTCCTCTCGACGTGGAGAAGCAGCGGCTCTACTCTGAGTCCCTCCCAGATGATCGAGCATCTGGTGGACCAGAATCGCCTCGAAGCCGTGCGGAAGTCATTCTCCATGGCCTCTCCGAACTCCTCTCATGCCCGAGTTTTTGCCTCAGCGACCACCCGAGCCGCATGTCGCTTGGACTGCCGGTACCCATCAGCTGCTTCCGGGGTCCCACAGGCCAAAAAGGCTCGATAGGACTCCTTCTTCAGCCCGACAGCATCCCTCACCGATGGTGTCCACCACCGGGTTCGAGGGTTGCCGCCGCGACAGGCACCGACAACCTTGCGGCCGCAGCTCTGGTAAGCCACCTCGACAATAGAGGCACGGAACATGGCCCACTCGGACTCAATATCCCCCACCTCCCCTGGAACATGTTCAAAGTTCTCCCGGAGGTGGGAGTTAAAGCTCCGTCTCAAAGGAGACTCTGCCAGACGTTCCCAGCAAACCTCACAATACGTTTGGGTTTGCCAGGTCTGACCGGCATCCTCCCTCACCATCGGAGCCAACTCACCACAAGGTAGTGATCAGTGAACAGCTCCGTCCCTCTCTTCACCCAAGTGTCTAAGACATGTGGCCGCAGATCAGATGAGACGACGACAACGTCGCTCATCGAACTGCGGCCTAGGGTGTCCTGGTGTCAAAAGCACATATGGGCCAGCGGACCAATTGCTCCTCACAGTTCCAGGAACTCATCTTAAGCGCAGAGGTGACATGGCCTTCTCTGTAGCAGGACCAAGACTTTGGAACGAGTTACCTCTGCTTGTCAGACTGGCTCCTTCCCTCTCAATTTTCAAATCCCGTTTAAAAACTCACTACTACTCAGTAGCTCTCAACACCAGATGATCTGTGTTTTGAACCTGTACGCTCCACACTGGTTTGTCATCTTTATTATCTGCATCGATTTTATGTCTATATTTTGTTGATAGTACATTCAGTCTGTTGTTCTGTCTGTACAGCACTTTGGTTGGCCTTGTAGCTTTTAAGTGCTCTATAAATACAATGGCATGGTATGGACACCCTTATGCTTGAACATGGTGTTCGTTATGGACAATCCATGACGAGCACAGAAGTCCAACAACAGAACACCACTCGGGTCAGATCAGGGGGGCCGTTCCTCCCAACCACACCCCTCCAGGTCTCACTGTCATTGCCCACATGAGCATTGAAGTCCCCCAGCAGAACAAGGGAGTTCCCAGGAGGTGCATTTTCCAATACCCCCTCCAAGGACTCCAAAAAGGGTTTATAATCTGAACTGCCGTTTGGTGCATGAGAACAAACGACAGTCAGAACCCGTCCCCCCCACACGTAGGCGGAGGGAGGCCACCCTCTCATTAACCGGGGTGAACCCCAACACATAGGCACCAAGATGGGGGGCAATAAGTATTCCCACTCCTGCTCGGCGCCTCTCACCAGGGGCAACTCCACAGCGGAAGAGTGTCCAACCCCTCTCATGGAAACTGGTTCCAGAGCCATGCGTAGAGGTGAGTCCGACTATTTCTAGCCGGAACCTCTCAACCTCACACACCTGCTCAGGCTCCTTCCCCACCAGTGAGGTGACATTCCACGTCCCAATAGCCAGCTTCTGTAGCCGAGGATCAGACCGCCAGGGTCCCCGCCCTCGGCCACTACCCATCCCACATTGCACCTGACCCCTTTGGCCCCTCCCACAGGTGGTGAGCCCTGGGAAGGGGGACCCACGTCTCCTCTTCAGGCTGTTCCCGGCCGAGCTCCATGGGTAAAAGCCCGGCCACCAGGCGCTTGCCCGCGTGCCCCACCTCCAGGCCTGGCTCCAGAGTGGGGCCCCGGTGACCCAAGTCCGGGCGAGGGAACATCAAGTCCATTTCTTTTACTCATCATAGGGGTGTTTGGGCTGCACTTTGTCTGGTCCCTCACCTAAGACCTGTCTGCCTTGGGTGACCCTACTAGGGGCATAAAGCCCCTGACAGCATAGCTCCTAGAATAATTGGGACGCTCAAACCCCTCCACCACGGTAAGGTGGACGCCCAGGGAGGTGTCTGTATAGGTCATTCTGCTAATTGTATCAAGGTGTCAGATAGTCACGGAGAATTTTAAACTTTAGCATCAGCATCAGTGAGCACAGATTTCTCCAACAACAAATACTAGATTCATAAATAGAAATCTCCTGAGTGTAATATTACATTGGAAAGGTTTAAAAATCTGATATCTTATTGCAGGGAGAGGAAAAAAAATCTCTCAAACCCACAAAAATAGGTTTATCGATTTTAATACCATTACGAAGTCTGGGCAAAAGTTTTTGTATCAAAATGTACTTATTCTCATGGTTATCTCAGGATATCTAAAAAAAAATACTCGTAAATTCTTAAAAAGAAAAAGTGAAAAATATATATTTTTTAAATGTCGGTGATGACAGCCACAACCTGTTGAAGGAGAAACAGAGCACACATACATCATTGAAGCAGAAATGAGCCAGGAGGTAAACAAGGGAGGAGGCAGGCCGTGAACGGCGCTATGCGCGCTCCCGATCATAAACCTCTGACGCCTTCATCCGGGAACTTCAACGAATTCGCTTTCCAACATGGCGGCGTCAGGTGAGGTTTATGTGGGTGAACGATCTGAGTCTATTACTGGGAGTTCCTGAGGGTTATATCTCCGGACAGTTTAACCTATAAAATCGTGAGGTTGCTACTTTGCCTGCGTAGCGGTCCGTTTCGTTGTCTCGCGCCTGTACGCACGTCTATCGGTGGCGTTTGCCCGCTAAGGCGAAGCTGCTCCTGGAAGAAGGCGAATGAACGACTTGTTCTGATCCGAGCGTTTCAGCCCACAAATTCAAACGCAAGCTCTCTCTGTGAACGTCGCTGGGTGGGTGTGCAGCGTATCGGTTGCTGAGTTTATTTGTTTCGCAACGTGTGAAACGGTCGGCGACGTGCTAACAAGACGTCGCTAACTGCGTGCGGAGCTGGCAGCACATTGTGAGTCAGTAGCTCCGCCGTGGCGCTCGGGGCGGACGAGCGTCGGGGCGCGATTTGTGGAGGAGGGGTTGAGGATCCGCCTGAAGAGTCTCCCCACGTGTGTGCTCTCCGGTGTCTTGATAAATCGGGGCAGCTGGGCCCGGTCGGGTCGCATCCTGATCACTTTTTTTTACGTCAGCTCTCCAACTTGGAGCTGTGTTTCCGAGCCGGCTCAGTCCCGCGCAGCTGATGGCGCACTTGGATCGTGACGCTGCGACGAGCGCTAGGCCCTGAACGCAGCACGGAGACTTCCCCCGTCAGCAGTTCTCCGCTGACCAAACCCGCAAAGACACGGAGACAAAAGCGGTCTCAGGCCCCGCACACTGTGGCTCCCGGCCGGGGTTCGTCTCCAAAAGTCAGGGAAGCGGCTCAACTTGCTTTTAGTGTAGGATTGAAATAAAATGTGGAAAACGTTTGACTTTCCAGACTGGAGCTTTTTTGTTCTTTCCAAAATATACGAATATATTTTTATAATCAATCAGGATTTTTTTTTTCCCCCACATAATTTACGAAAATATAATTACCATATTATATCTTTTAGCTAGTTTAAAACCTCAAGCCTTGCGTTTAATGAATAGTTTCTTAATATATGCTCATATCTCAATACATCTCATATTTTCACTATTGAGACAAATCAGGTGTTCTAAACCATATATACCATTTTTTAAAGGTTATCCCCTTAACTTTTTTTTTTAGTAATTACAAATGGACTCAAACTTTACATAAACATCGCTGAGTGATTACAGATTACAGTACAGGCTTCTTAAGCAACGTTTTAATTAATTTATTTTAGTTTATTCAACCTTTATTTATACAGGTAGTCTCCTTGAGGCATGATGACTCATTTTCATGATGCCTGTTATGTATTTTTAGACTCATTTCTGGATTTCTTTTCATAAAGACACACCAACTAGGAGGTGATGCTCAGAAAGCTTCTACTGATCGTTTATTACAGGCGATTAAGTTCAGTGAACTGGACATGCGAGTGTGAAATGAGCACTTTTGCTCTGTGTGTGTGTGTATTTTGTCTTTAGGTGTGTGAAGAATGTCCTGACATCTGGGATTTTCTGTTTTTATATGTCCCCCCCCTCTTTCAGCCTCAAGACTAAAACGGATCAAACCAGTTTTTTGAGTTGTTTGAAGCTGGTGAGCTCCGTCAGCCTCCAGAATTCAGATTTTTTTAATAAATAATAGTCAAACGATGTGCTGTAATTAATAGTTCACGTTGTTGTTTATTTAACGCCTTTACCTTCACATAAAGTTATTGGTTTGACGATCGCCTGGTGTGCTGTGGGTGCACTTAATGACATTTTGGATTTTTATCGTCACTTTTTTCCAGCACATTCAACAAACCGCGTCTTTATAAATGCGTTCCAGTGTTGGATTTTTGCAGCTACATTTGTAATGTGATGCATTAAGGGGAAAAAATGTAATATAATCTTAAAAAGTTGCCTTGTCCTCCCCCAGCTGCCATTAAATCCTGGCAGGTGAAAGTTTGCAGCGACTTGACATTTCATGCCCATCAAATGTTAATAAAAATATAGCGGGTATATTTATTCTGTTCCAAGTTTGATTCTGTTCAAACTTATTTTTTTAGACCTTATTGTATTAATTATCACAGTTCTAAACTGGCACAAGGTGGGCACAGATGTTTTTCGTTAACCTTTTTGTAAGCGGACAGCTTGATCATTGGAAGATGTCACAACTTTCTTTCAGCACCCTGAGCGGGAAAAGCTACAGTGACTGTTGGTCATTAGTCTGTTTTTATCTCTCACGCCCCCTCTTATCTTACAAAGCTGCACAATTTGCCATTACTTAACAAATAATTTTGGCTGGCTTGAAGAAGCAACTGCTAAATAAAGTCATGCTTAAGACCTTCCTATGTGTCACTAACCCACATTCTCTGTGCATCATTCCTGCAGCTAAGAAGAAGAATAAGAAGGGAAAGACCCTCACTCTCAATGACTTTCTGGCTGAAGACGGTGGAGGTAGTAGTAGTAATGCACCTCCGAGCTACCCGTCCAAGTCCACAAGCTGGGCCGACGAGACCGACGACCTGGACGGAGATGGTGAGCGCGTGCAGAAAGTTTTCCTATCAATCAAAATTTAATGTCAGATGCAGAACAGTGAAATAATGTTTGTACTTTAGGTTTTTGAGTTTTACACAGCGGTAAGAGTTCTGTTACTGCTGTGCATGTCTTACCACCCGTTGGTAATAATATGAATTATTTAAAAACTTGCTACTACCTGCCAGCTTTCTATTGCTGATTATTATGTACGCTGAGACAGTTTGAATAAGGTCAAGTTAAAACCAGTGCGTTTTAAAGAAGACGTTTTTAAAGAGGGCATGAAAACTTGTAGAAATCACATCTGACAGTAAAGATTAAAAGACTAATTCCCTGTTTTTGCTCTGAGCCCGCAGACAATAAACCTTTTGTGAGGTACCAATTGTGAAGTAACGTTCTGAATGTCCCCTGAGATTAAATCATAAACTTGCTTCTGGTTGAAGCGGTCACGTCTTTTAAGGTTCCAGGTTCTTTATTGTCATTCGCGTCACGTGTGGTACATGAGGTGGAACGAAATTGTGCACTCGAGGTCCCAGTTACGCCCAAAAATAGCAAAAATATGACGCATAAAAAAGAATCTCCATACAAGGATCTAAGATAGACGCTAAACAATAATAATGTAATCTAATGCGCTGTATTAAACAGCAGCCTGAACATGAGTCTGTTGTGAGCAGATGGGTAGGAATACAGCAGCTTAAAGGCAAGAGATCAGCAGCATGGATAATCAGCAGCCCAAACTAAAATCTAACTAACTGAACTAAAATCAGTTTTAGTTCACAACCTTTAAATCCCACTTTTATCGTGGGATGTTTTTACTGAAAGTTTCATTGGTTCGTTCAGAAAACTAAAATCTTCGGTGTCGCTCTTCAAGTCAAGGGCACGACTCGTCTCGTTCAGCTCGTAACACCAAAACGTAGTTTCTTGTAAAGTTTGAAATGTGTTGTAAAGTCGTCTCTGGTCGTTTTTAAATAAGAAAACCTTTGAGAGTTGGGTCAGACTGGTTTTGCGGAGAACGTGGCTTCAGTGTTTCACCTGCTGCAGGTTGCTCGCTCCTGTGTCTTACAGAAGGAAAAGTTGTCATACACCTGCTATGAATATCTTTTTAACTTTAAACTATGAGTTTACTAGTGTTCTTACCTGGGTCTGTGTTACTAAAATAAAAGACTATTGTGGACACCAAGCAACCCCCCCAGTGTAAACAGTGGGCTCTGATGGTGTTACTTCCTTTGTATAGTTGTTGTTGTTGCACGGCTGCTTCTAGAGCTTTTCTTTAGTGTTGCACGAAATCTGAAAAATAATAGCTTTGCAAGGACTGCTCTTCTTTTGTCCCACACAGGTAGCTATAGTTACTGTCACATTTGTTTTTATTTGAAATATATATATTTAACTTTCAAAATATTAAGTCCACGTGACTGTGAAATTTGTATTTATTCAGCCTGGATGCCATTTTTTTTTTTTTTTTGGTCTTAACTGCCTTTAGTTTTATTTTCTTTGACATATTTTTGTTGCACATCTTTATGATTATGCTTATGATTCCTGCACATCGTTAATATTCAGCTGCTCGTTTTGCATTAATTCGTGGGTTTAAAGATAAAAAGCTGTCGTGTAGACTGTGTTGTTGTACTTTGTGTACTGGGAGCGTACAAAACCGTCTCCAAAATGGCTGACGTGATAAAACGAGCAGCAAATAGTTTCTCCGATTTGTTTTTTTTTTTTCTTGTATTGAATGCATGTGAACATAAGATGTTTTGAACTGGTTTTCTGTTTCGTAATTCTCCCTTTTATTCATTAAACATTTTGAGCAAAGATTAGAAAAGCTTAAAAATAACAAATAACCAAAACTGGTGATTAATCTCTGGGTTGTTTTTTGTTTCTTTTTCTTTCAGTTTCGACATCGTGGCACACCGAGGAGGATACGTACCGGGCTCCACCCATCGATCGCTCAATCCTGCCCACAGCTCCCCGTGCGGCCCGTGAGCCCAACATTGACCGGTCCCGACTGCCCCACAGCCCGCCGTACACGGCGTTCCTGGGCAACCTGCCCTATGACGTCACTGAGGACTCGATAAAAGACTTCTTCCGTGGCTTGGCAGTAGGTGTAGTCAACGCACAGCGGAGCATAAAGCACCCAGTGTACAGTTACCACAAGTTTGTTGTCTGTAGCAACACAGCTCTGTTTTCAGTTGTAGTTCAGTTTAATGTGCTTATATCCAGTAAATGTGTTTCAGACTACCACGACGTACAGCACCTGCTGTAGTCAAAAACCTGAAGGTTTAACTCAGCTGTTTTAGTTGTTCCATGATGCCTCGATTGGAATGGAGCGTTCAGGAGCTTATTACAGTTTAAAACTGATAGCCTCTTGATTTATGTGGATGGTTTCTTACTATGTCTTTGCTAATGAAGACGTGTGTGAAATGTGTAGCAGCTGAATGTGGCAAAATACTTCCACACCAAAAACATAATTTTCAGTCATGTTACTTGATGTAGGGTAATTGGCTGCCACCAGTTGTATATAAAAAAAAATCTATTTTCTGATGTTTAAAGTTGAACAGGCTCTAGGTTTTATTTCAAACTTGTTAAAACTATTGTATATGTCCACCCAAAGTTATTTTGTTTTCTGACCAGAGACTCAACGTCTCAGTTAAACTGTTTGGAAATTCATCAGATTTTCCTTGAAGGAGTCTTTTTATGGGATTACACTCGCAGCGTTTTGTTTTTGTTGCCCCCCATCGCAGAGTAAAAGGGGTGAATTGGAAATACCCTCATTGGGTCTGTTCGTTCATCTAGGTTCCTTTAAAAAAAATGGGTTGTCACATCAAAATCCAAAATGGCTGCCACCGTACATGTAAAAATGCAAACATTGTGAGTTGGATAACTTGAAAAATAAGCAACATGCCAACTCAGCTGCATCTAGATGTAAAAACGGTCACTATCAAAAATTGGGTTGCCAAGTCAAAATCCAAGATGGCCACCAAACTTTACATATGTAAATTGACCACCCCAACCATTTGAGGAAACTATGCTTTCTAGTTTTTATATTGCTTAAAACTATAGTTTCCTCGAATGATTGGGGTGGCTGAAGATTAATGTATGTGGCCAAGGCCACCATTAGCCACCCCCTGGCTCTGCCTTTGTGTCCGGTCAGTAAAATTGCTCCCTCCACTCACCAGCATCCGTCTCTGCACCTCAAAAGACAAGGAAAACGCCTCACTACTTGCACCCAGCGTAACTCCTACCCACTTTGAACATCTTGCACCAAAAACATTCAGGATTATTTTCATTCCCCGTTTAACTCCATTCCAGAAAAACACTCGTCTCGAAATCAAACATTCACTATTCAAGTCCCTCCGCTACGGGACATTGGTGTACCGCTTGTTTACACTTAATTTGGCTTTTACATGTGGTGATATTTTTTGTGTAACAAAAAGTGGTTGATAAACTCATTTGCTTGTATTTTTAAGACTGTTACATTTAAAAAAGTTATTTCCTTGTTGGTAGGCTCGTGTCACTTCAGTGTGCGTGGTCGGCCCATCCTCTATGCATGGCTTCCCTATTTTTACATTACGCTTTGAGTTTCTGTCACTTTGGCTCTGTTTAGAGTAAAATCTGTCTTGTAATACCCTCTCTGTTCCCAGATCAGTGCAGTGCGTCTCCCTCGTGAACCCAGTAACCCAGAGAGGCTGAAAGGTTTTGGTTATGCTGAATTTGATGATCTGGAGTCCCTTCTGAGTGCCCTAACCCTAAATGAAGAGGTGAGAGAAACCACTAGACTTGAGCTTAGCTGAGTTGAGTTGTTTTTGTCCCGCTCTGAAAAATATACAGCTCATGCTATATTACTGCTTTATTTTGGTATAATGTAAAACAAACTGTTAAAAGTGCTTGTTTCACCTGAGAATTCTCTGTTCCCGTTTCTGTCAACAGAACCTGGGGAACCGAAGGATCCGTGTTGATATCGCAGACCAGTCCAATGATAAAGGTGTATTTCTGGTCTTTATTGTTACATTTTAAAAGACTTTGTCTATTTACTTATTAACCTGCTGTTTTTAATAAAGGTAACCCATTTCTTTTTCACAAGAGGAAGCTATTTTCTGAGCTAGAAAAAAATGCTGTGGCACAAAAACTAATGTTGGCTTCAGCATGCAGCTAATGCTTCATTGTCAAATTTTATCTAAAGGGGGTAGGAGATAATTATGCGGCAAGAAACTAGAATTTGTGCTCGAGCTTTACAGCAATATTTGCCGTGTTGTTAAAGTTAATTTCTTATTAAATCCTGCTCAAACTTAGAATTTCTTACTGAAGCAAGATCCTCTCAAAGTGCCTGAGTTTTAGGAGTTTCTACGTCTTGTAGTGACGTAAAACACCCAAACACGTTTCTTCACGTGACCTCTTTAAGGTGATGAATTTTGGTGATTGACTGATTCCTCTTCACTCACCAGAACGAGACAGTGGACCCATGGGAGGCAGGGGTGGACGGATGGGAGACATGGGTCCAGACAAGACGGACAGTGACTGGAGAGCTCGGCCAAGCTCGGACCAAGATGACAAACCTCCAAGGAGGGATGATCCTTTTGGAGAAAGTAAGATAATTTTTTTTATTATGTTCTTATCAATATGAGGTTATTTCAAACTACATCCGAAGCCGAGAAACTGTCTCGTTGGTGTAGTTGCGTGATGAAAATCCTGTCATTGTTCTCAGAATAGCTTCGTCAGCCCCTTCTCGACACAAGGCCCGGACTAAACTTTTTCTCCCAGGAGCACAAAGTGTGACAGATCGGAAGTTTGTGGGCGTGTTTGTTTACGTGGGAAAGCGCTCGGACAGAAACGTCATTTAGCTTCAGCTACACCACCTCCAGAAGCGCGTGTGCAGGCAACACGGACGGCAGAGAATACATCCATCGGTGCGACTCTTCAAGACACACTCGTGGATTGAGATGGTTCAGACATTGTGCATGGAGAGGTCCATCTACCAAAAAGTGTGGCGCTGCGTTCGTGACAGATTTGTGGCCAAACGGTGGACGCAGGGACGAGGTGGAGACTCTGGCAAGAAGAAACTCGTGCTGTGACATGTACTACAGCAGGAGGGCTTCCCCAGGAGCTCTGCGCTGTGTGTCTCGTGTGTGTGTGTGTGCGAAAATGAACATCTCACGACCACAAGTTGACTGTTCAGCTTCAGATGGAGTATGAAACCACCTGTAACTGTTGAAAATATAAGGGAAACCTTTAATGTGCTCAAGTGTTTAAAAAAAGGCTCTTGTGTGTGTGATGTAACTGTTCTCAAAAACAAAGCTCGGCTTTTGGTATTTTTTAAAACGTTAATTTTCCAGGTGTTATTGCAAACCAAAAAAAGGTCTAACTTCTGTTTTTTGGGGACATCTAATGACGTTGGAGTTCAGTTCTTTATTTTCAAAAAAGAGAAAATATAAAAGCAATGAAACTCTCTAGGTTTTGTATTTTTAAAAAAGAAAAGTGAATTTAGTAAACAAGGTCCAGGAGTCATCAGAAAACTTGTCTTGGTGCAGGGTCACGGGACCGCTACGAGTCCGATCGTTTTAGAGACGCTCCACGGCGGGATACTGATCGCTACGACGGGGGAAGAGACCGCTACCGGGATCGCTACGATGACAGGGACCGCAGAGATCGTTATGACGACCGGGACCGTCGGGATCGCTACGACGACAGAGACCGTAGAGACTACAATAAAGGTGAGTTGTTGTGTTCCTGTGGGTTGGCGGGGGGCTCCTTATTTAATGGTAGGGGAAACACTAAGCATGTACTTTGTCGTCTTCAGTTTTCAGATGATAATTTCTTAATATTCCCGTTCTGACCTCATTTTCAGGTCTCTCTTGTAAATGAGTCCTCGGGGCTCAATGGGATTAACCTGTTTAAATAAAGGTTGAATGAATTTCTGTTCATGGCCTCTCGCTCGCCCAGCTGCAGCTGTGATTCCTCTTATTTGTCTTTTCTGTTGACAACATAATTCTCTGTTTCTTACCTGCCCTCTTGCTGTCGTTTTAGGCTTCGACTCCCATGGTGGAGGAGGTCGTCGTGCCTTTGGTAGTAGCTTCCGTCGAGACTATGATGACAGTCGGAGTAACGAGGACCGGGAGGATCGATACGATCGACGAGATGAGAGACGTGAGGAGAGATGAGAGTTTATACAAATAGACTTTCTTATCTGGTTATCTGGATAACTTTATTTTGTTTAGTTTTTTTAGTGTACATGAAGAAAACAAAGTTACTTCAGACACATTTCCCCACTTGAACAGAACAGACTTGTGACTTCATGAGTTTATCTGTCGTCCCTAAAGCTCCTCAGCAAAGACCCAAGTTAAACCTGAAGCCTCGCAGCGTACCAAAGGAGGAGGAAGGTACAGGCAGCAGCGGGGGGACGTCTCCATCTGTCGCTCCGAGCTCCGGCAGCAGGGCCTCGTCCATTTTTGGTGGAGCCAAACCAGTTGACACAGCAGCCAAGGAGAGGGAGGTGGAGGAGAGGCTAAAGAAAGAAGAAGAGAGGCTGCAAAGGCAGCTGGAGGAGGACAAAAGCCGAGGACCTGATAGAAAGATGAGGGACAGGTAAGTGGGGATAAAAACATTTTGATGTTTGAGTTTTCTTTATTATAATAATGCACTTAAAAGTATTTCTTGATCAACCCGAGAGCTGTTATGATTGTAAACTTTTAGGCGTCTTCAAAAAAAAAAAAATTTTACAACTTTATGAAGTTTAGTTCAGTTTAACCAAGGTTTGCCAGTATTTAAATTTAAAGATTTGTCACTCAGTGGTATGAAAAAACTTTGATAAGTTTCACATCGTACATTTTCAAGAAATCTTTTCTGTTTGTAGTCGTGAAACAAGATGCACCCGTCAAAAAATGCATTATTCTTAATTTCTCCTGAGAAGGTTCTCTTTACCGCTTCATGATTTAAAAGAAAACCTCTTCACATGGTTGATATTATTTTAATGCTAAAGTACAAGTACAACAATGTTCAGTGTTTTGAAAGGAGAAATTTCACTTTCTTTGTCTTGTATTTAGGGACCCTAGCTGGCGCAACGAGGAAACGCCTACTGAACGATCCCGCACAGGAAGTGAATCCTCACAAGGAAAAGGTGAATAATTACTGGAGTTTACTACTGAAAGCTAAACTTGCATTTCTAACTGGGTATCTTCTTTTACCGCCATAAAAGTTGTAACTCGTGCTCCTTTTCCAACAAAAGCCAAAGTTAATGGTGTGAATGTTTATGAAGCATTCACACTATTGTGATCCATTTTTCTTCCTTACGTTTTTCAGCATCTTTCTCAGCTCTGAAAGATGCTGAAAAACGAACGTCTTTTTCCAGCACATTTTTTGTGCTATTTCAACAAATCGTGTATCAACATGTTCAGCTCTTTCAGGACAATCCTGCTGTGACTTTGGTATTGGTGCAACTTTGACTTTTTGACATATTTAACTTTTTCTTTTATTTTTTTTTTCCTCCTAGAAAAAGACTTGAGCTCATTTAACATCCTTCAAATCTTTAGATCTGTTTACCACCTTTTACTGCTCCTTTCACATTTTGTTCTGGTTCAGCTTCTTTGTGCAAATTATTTTTTTTTCAGCTTATTTCAGCTCCTTTTACATTCTTTCTGCTAACTGCAACATTTTTGTGCTTCTTCTAACTTCGTTTTGCTAATTTCAGCTTGTTCTGCTCCATTCAGCTTATTTCTGCAAGTTTCAGCTTATTCTGCTATTTCAGCTACTTTTTAGTTGTTTTATGTTAATTTTAGCTTTTTCAGTTAATTCCACATTTTTTGCACTCACTCCTAGTTTTTTTTTTAACCTAATTGATCAAAATTGTGCTCTCCTCTTCCTTCTGGTAGTTTAAGCTTCTTTCTGCATTTCAGCTATTTTTCAGCTGTGTTTTTGCTAATTTCAGCTTTTTTCAGATAATTTCCACTTTTTTGTGCTCATTTCTGCTTCTTTCAGACTAATTGGGCAAACATGTTCTTTCTGCCTTCTTGTGCTAATTTAAGCTTTTTCTACCTTTTCAACTACCTTTTTTTTCTTTAATTTTTTAGCTGATTTCAGCTGTTCATGTTAATTTCTGCTTCTTTCAACCTAATTAACTTCATTATGGTAATTTAAGCTTATGCTCCTTTCAGCTTTTTTCGTCTAGTTTCAGCTTTATCTGATATTTCAGCTACGATTTGGCTGTTTTATGCTAATTTTAGCATTTTCAGCTAATTCCACCATTTTGGAGCTCATTTCAGCTCTTTCCACTTCCTTCTGCTTTTTCAGCTAATTTTCAGCTACTTTTTGCTAATTTCAGCTTAAGCTAATTTCCTAACTTTTGTGCTATTTTCTGCTGGTTTAAACCTAATACAGCAACTATGTGTTCCTTTTGCTTTCTTCTGCTAATTTATGCTTGTTCTTCCGTTTCAGCTACTGTTCAGCATGTTTTAACTAATTTCAGCTGTTCTTCAGCAATAAGCAGTCACACTGCATTTTTGCAGGAAATGCAATTTCTCTAGTTTAGTTTGAGTTTCTTTTTAAATAAGCAATGAAGTTCTTCATTTTCAGTGTTAATCTGAAACATCTTTCCTCCTCCAGGATCAAGATGTCGAGATGGGGAGCGCTCTGGAGAGAATGAGGTTTTCTCTGGGAGAGAAGGGAACTCTTCTCCTGGTTCCTCCCCACTGCCGCCCTCCACCAGCTCTACAAAGGAGCCGCTCAAAGTGATGCCTGCTCCACCTAAGGAGAACGCATGGGCCAAACGAAGTGCAGCGAGCACGGGATCCAGCGAGGGAGAGCCCCGACAGCCGGTCTCTCCGGTGTCACCGAGTGGTTCGACTCCTCCTAAGTTCAGGTGAGAGCGCAGCTGATGCATCTGAAGGTCTGGAATGTGTTTTTCCTATAAGAGTCGTTTGGCTTGGTGAGCTTGTTTGAAAGTTCCAGACATCGTTAATAAACTTTCCTCCTCACTTTTATTTTCCTCCTTTAGTTCTTCAAATTCTGCAGATGAAAGAGGATCTGGAAAAGGTAAGTTCTGCCAGAGAGCTCTGAACACATGGTGTCACTTGAATCACTCTTCAGTATCCTGGTCTTAGTAAAACTCAGTCACTGGTCTCTGGTGCTTTGAGGTTAAAAAAAATGTTGTAATCAATTTTTGTCCATTTGACAAAATTGACTCTTCACATTTTCCAGTTTCTGTGGCGCAGTATTACTCTGAGTTAGTTACTGCTCAATTTCTTTCACTTGTTGTTTTGCTCAGCAGATGGCAAACATAGTAAAATTTAAATTTTATGTAATCGATTACAATTACAAGTAACTACATTTAAAATGTAATGGTGTAACAAATATTTACATTAACTTGTTTGTTCTATTCAACCCAAACTTTGGCATCTTACTCAACTGTCTGTCCCCTGAAGACGAGAACAAGGCTGACGGTGCGCGATGGGACCGTGGGGTCCCACGGACACGAGGTGGACCACCTGCAGGTCTAGGAGCTGGCCGGGGCCGAGGAGAAACGCCCAGCAAAGACCGAAAAAAGGAGGCAGAGAGGTCAGGAACTATGAGATTAATAATGGGTGCAAAGCCACTGAGGTGCTCCACAGAACAACACAGGAAGTCCTTCCTCCCTGTGGCTATCAAACTTTTCAACTCCTCCCCCTTTCTACACATAGGACAACAAAATTAATCCTGCACCACAATAAACACCGTTTTCACATGAAAACATTTCATACATGTATGCACCTGACCTGTTTAGAACATAATTGTTGGTATTTTTATATTCTCTGGTATTTTTTTTTTATATCTTGTGTATGTTCCTTTGTACTGAATCTCTGGCACAACAATTTCCTGCGGGATCAATAAAGTGCTATCTTATCTTTAAAGGACTGTAAGGGGCATTTCTACATGTATTCTTTGTTTTTCATGCAGAGTCCAAGATGTCTGGTGTGCACACTTAATTCTCAGCCAGATTTTTATAGTCCCCGTAATAAACATGGAAAAGTATTAGTATCAGGGTGAAAAGTCAGACTGCTCCGTGAGACTTGCTCTTTTGCTACAACTGTTTTCTGACGGTGAATAATAAGCACAGTGTGATCAGCCAGTTCATACTTGTTAATTCACTCACTGAAAATAGGCAGAGACCGTTGGGTCCTTTATTCTGGCGTCTTCCTGTGTGTTTTGAGGACCCACAACAGTCTAACGTTCAGTGTCTTGTGCTGATTCTGTTTGCAGAAAGGAGATCAAAAAAGACCGGGATGCCAGACCACCTCCAGAGCCAAAGAAATACGAAGAAACCCCAACCCCTGTAAGTCCTCCACTGGGCGACATCAAAGTCAGCTGAAACTTTTCTTAATGGTTTTTAAATACTGCTTGTTTTGCTGACACTTATTTTATATAGTACAGTAATCTCTCGATACTTTGCGGGTCAACTTTCGCGGACTCACTCGTTTGGGTTTTCAACGTAAGATTGTACACGGCACACAGTTGGTGATGGGGACAGACAGACCCCCACCCCTGCCCCCTCCTTTCTCTTTCTGAGCAGTTTATCACAGCAGAGCAGTCTGCTGTGACAGACAGCCTCGGAAAAAGAAAGGAGGGGTGGGGAGGCTTTATCTAAGTGAGCCGCACAAGCGGCATGGTTTATTTAAAATAATCAAGCGCAACCCGAACTGAGCCTTTAGTCCCTCTCGGCGATCACTGAGCGGGCCAGGCCACCGGGAAATGTCCCGGTGCTCGTGGCCAGTCTGCCCCCAGAGTTTAGAACATTGCAAGGGTGTGGAAAGGGTTTACAAAGACTTTATATATCTATATAATTACTAAAATAAATATAACGTCCCTACTTCACAGACTTTCACCTATCGCGCGGGTGTCTGGAACGTAACCCCGTGATAAGTGAGGGACTACTGTGTTTTCATTAACTTCGGTTCTTTTTTTGCAACGGATCACTGAGTAACCTTTTCTGTAATCGTTTCATTGTTGAATTTATTTTCCTAATTTTTACGCAAAACTATTTGAGTGATATTTGTCTTGTTTGCTGTTTTCTCTTCGTTCAGAAGTTCAGCTCAGCCAGCAAGTACGCCGCTTTGCTAATGGACGGCGACCAGGGAGAGGAGGCAGAGGTCGAGTAGACGACAACAAAACGAGGCCTGAGAAGACGAGAGGAGGAGAAAACAACAAACTCCAGGAAAAAGAAGAAAAAAAATTCTCACAGTTTATCGAAGAAGAAGAAATAAAGAAAAACATCTTTTCACACAAAGTGGCTCTGAGGGGTGGCGCCACTCCCTCTCTCCCATTTTCCTCCCACAAACCTGTCCTTGAACCTCCCACCCATCCCCCCCTCCCCCGCCCCGCCTTCAGGACTTTTCAGGTTCTAAAGATTAGTCTCCTACTGGACTTGTTTTAAATGGAAAAGAGGAATAGATGACACCGTGAGAAGTGATGGTAAACTTTGACTTAATTGTAACAAATAAATGGAAAAAGTGAGGAAAGAAAAATGAATTTGTATATTTGTGGATTGCAGGCGTGGTGAGGTGGGATACAATAACACAAGATGTAGCTTACTGAGTGAAATCTTTTATTTTGAAGAGCAGAATTTGACTTGCATCATTCTTTAGACGCAGACATTTACTTCAAACTCTTTGTACCCACTAGTAAATAATTTGGTACCAGATAATCAATCTGCCAGTTTCTTGATGAACCCTGTCTTCCAGTACTAACACTCGTGAATGTTCGACTTGGCTACTAATTTTAAAACCTTTTACAAATCATGTTTTCATTAAATTACTGATTTGAATTTGTTCAAACTCTCAGTATTATAAGAAGTTGAAAACGACTGCTGCGTTTTTATTTGAAGCCTGAAAAACCTAAAATACAACGGCGCCACTCGGTTCTCCTCGAGAATCCATGAAGTGCCATTACTGTTCCCATCGTTGTACAGAGTGCCCCTGTATTTCTACACTTCTCTGATGACGTAAGCATCAATTAAAGGCCCGTAGTGCTCTTGTTTCCAGCTGTGTGAAATCTTGGCAGCTGTCTGAATCATTTACTAACACACACATGGGAAAGTCTCATCAGAACTAGAGTAGGAGGATTTCCATAAATACCAAAAAGCTTCCAGTTTACAATAAATTATGTATACCTTCTAACTGTGGATGAAGCTCATGCAGGTATCGAGTTTCAGCTGTACCCTAACCATGACTCGGATGCTGATTTGCATTTTGAGACATAAATATCTAACAAAAGTATTTTTCCAACTGTTCTCCTGGTGTGGTCTGTGAGGAATCCACGTTCCTGTGTTTCTTCAGCCTTGACTCCCTGCTGAGGGTCAGACTCCTGGTGGCAGCTGGTGGGGGGTCCTGCTGAGGGGTTACTACTCGCAGACGCACACACTGGGTTTGTATTTAGGGTTACCTTGCATTAGGTCGTGTGGTCAGTGAGGGGAAACAATTGGTTCGTGTTGATGGTGAAACGTTTAGAAATTTGTAAGAAATCATCTGACTCTTCTGAAGCATGCGCAATAATCCAGGAAGATGACTACAAGGTTGAGTCTGGTCCTCGGCACCTTCTCATAGTAGATCAACCAGTCTGCTGATGACAACCAGAACTGGATCACATGTAAAAGGACCATTGGCTTAACCACCAATCATTAGCACCTGATGGCTGTTTACTACTCACAGAGGGCTGAGTGATGCTAGCAATCACAGCATTGTAAGAGGGGGACAGTTGAACCCGGAGGCTCCACCCCTGTTTAACGATGGACGATTTCTTTTCACAAAGATGGCCTCCTTTACTCCTCTCTCAAACCATCGTTCCTCTCTGTCTAGGATGTGAACATCTTCATCCCTGAAAGAGTGACCGCTGGCCTGGAGATGAGTGTAGACCGCAGAGTCCTGGCCTGATGATGTTGATCTTCTGTGCTGGTCCATCCTTTTGGCCAGTGGCTGTTTAGTTTCCCCGATGTAAGACTGATCACCCTCCTGACACTGAACAGCATACACAATATTACTCCATTTGTGCCGGGGGACTGGATCTTTGGGATGAACCAGTCTTTGCCGTAATGTATTTTGGGGTTTAAAAGCCACTGGGACGTTATGTTTAGAAAATAAACGTCTCAGTTTCTCTGATACTCACTCAACATATGGAATGACCACTGGTCTGGGTCTGGGTTCCTCCTTTTCACCTGATGGCTGACTGGAGTCCTGTTTGGGTTTTTTCAGGGCCGAGATGGGGTAGAGGTAGGGCAGCCAACTCGGGACCAGAAAGTCGCAGTTCGATTCCTCACTATTCCCACATGTGGTGTCTGAAGTTAGATACCAAACATCTTTACTTGGTTGCAGGTTCCTCAACAAGAGTTTGATTGGTCTCATTTGACGTTCTCTGTTGCACTTTTGACATCATAATCAAATATTACTGAAAAGATTAAAGTGATACAAGTATTTTACATTTAACACATCATTTTGGGGGCCAGATAAGATGTCAACGAGGGCCACATTTGGCCCCAGTGAGTTTGACACAAATGATCTAGAGCCTGTCTTGTATGGGATTTCTCCTTCTGCCTGGCTCCTGAGTTTGTGGGGACGCCGTCTGCTCTGTGGTACAGAGTTCAATTCAGTTTATTCATATACTGTAGCACCAAATCACCACAAAGTTGTCTTGGGGCACTTTACAGGAACATTCACCTGTTCTGATGATACCTCAGCTCTGAATGTCTGTCGTGCATCATTCCTCAGAGCTGTGTGACATGTGTTAGAAAGAGTTGAGAATTTTGCAGTTTTTACATTAAAAAAAAAGATGTAAAACCTCAGAGAAACAGCATTCTACTGCTAGAAATCAACAAGTTGATCATTTCAAGCCAAATTTAGCTCTCAATCCTAGATTTGTCTGTTTTCAACCAAAGCCTGCTTTGTCCGGTGTGACCAGAGGCTATATGGCTGCAGAAAGAGCTTATTGTTCCAGATATCCCCTTCACGGCCCTGAAACCTCCCATCTTACAGCAGCGTTCTGTCAGGGGGAACCCACTTTGAGAACATGTCGTTATGTGTGAGCTACAGAGTCGACGCAGTCTGGAGGATTTCATGGAGCCAAGATCAAATTAAAGTACAGAGCCCATCTTTGTTTTCACTTCTGTGGAGAAAAAGGCAGAGCAGGAATTGATGTTGATCTCGTGTGTTTTACCAAACAGGGTGGTGGACTTAATCACATCCAGAATATTTGTAGGCAAAACAGAAAGGTCTAGGCGTGCATGTCGCCCGCCATCTTTTACACCAGAGTGTTCATCTAAGGCCAGCTCAAAATGGGGAGACATGGAGGCAAAGTGAAAACTAACAAGCTGAGAGGACGGGTCACTAGTAACTAACTCTGTGAAGGGAGTTAGGTCTTCCTCATGAGGAAGAGGAGCATGAGAGGGGCTGACATGAAGCCAAAGGGGAAGAACCTGACATCAACAAGCTAAAACAGCTGCCCCCTTTTTTCCCTGCACAGAGAGAGGAAGAGGAGCCTGATGGGGTGAGGCAGAGTGGGTTTGGAGATGGGGGGCGTTTAAAGTTTTACAGAGGAGAGACAAGGCACGTGTGAAGGGGGGTGATTTTGGTGAGTGTGTGCTTTCAAAGTGAGGTTATATAGCCAGTGTAAGAGGAGGAGGAGGAGGCAGAGCAGAGGGTCAGGTCTTAGTGACACTTCTGAGGGGGGGTGGGGGGTCTGTAAGAGGAGAGTCCAGGGCAGGGGGCTGAAAGTCATCTGTCATCTGGGGTTGGTTTCAAGACAGGACAGGCTGCCAGGGAGGACAGAGGTGTGAGGCGTCACTGTTTGGGAAGAAGGAAAATGTTGGAAAAGAGAAACGAGACTCAAAAGCATGAAGTGCTGTTAGAGGAGGACTGAAGAAGGACCTCCAGGAGCGGAGCGGAGCACTGGTCTGGAAGCAGCAGAGAAAAATTAAAACGCACGAGTTGAAGGAGCTGTGTGCTGGAGGAATGGGCTGCATCCACAGCTGTGGCAGGATAAAGGAGCATGGGCCTGGTACGGAGCCTAGAGGAACCTCCACAAAGGCAGACTCTCAGGTGCATCCGGAAATTCTTCAGCTTGCAGAGGTAAAAACAAAACAAAAAGAAAGCTGCTTTTTACTTAACTCAGCAGAGTTCAGACAATTCTGGAGATTTTCAAGGGAAGAGTGCATGTTGGGTCTGAGAATCCGCAGACAGCGTGTTTGCAAACAGCTCTAAACTCGCATGAGGTGCACGATGACGACTGCAGCTTCAGTCACTTCTGCCAAGGAGTGCAGGCAAAGAAATCCAAAGAATCATCACTATGTGTCCTAAATAGATCAGGCCGGGACTTCAGAGCAGTTCTGCCGCTTGTAGGAAACAATTCATCAACCTATAGTCATGATTAAATAAAAAATGTCTTATTGCACAGGAGTGATTTACCATATACTGTATGTGGTGAATGAGATTTTTAAAATAGGGGCACAACAGCTGATTCACTTGAGCACCTGCTGATGATGTCCCTCAGGCGTCAGGAGGAAGTGGTATAAGTTACTGTCTGGCCTTCCTGTCTGCTCGGTTTATTTAGGAGCATGCTGCACTTCTGTGTGAATAAAACCCCAGAGGACTTTTCTTTATACATACTGTATGTTTATGTCTGTGTAGACATGTTCGGTCTGGAACAGGTCTCTCTTGAAAATGAGTTCTCATGGCTCAATGAGACCAGCCAGTGTAACTAAAGATATATATATATATATATATATATATATATAGTACGTATATGTATTTATATATATATATATATATATAGTACTTTGTATATGTATGTAT